CTTGAATTTAGTAAAGTTGAATAAACCCCATACAATAATATTGACTAGCAAGTATAGATTTGTGTGTTTGTGATACTTAACATCACCGCATCACAAATTCTCACCTCAAGCACTTTCATCCAGAACTCCATTCGAGATTTTATGAATCTAACATTCCAAGAAAAATATTTCTTCTCTAGTCATAAATAAATCTGACTTGAGTCATTATATGTTGATTTCTATCAAACAATTGAAACTTAACATATCAAATATCTGTAATTTTATTATATTGATATTTCTTCATAAGAATTATACCGTTTCATGTCAAAGAAAATACTAAAAAATACTCTATGTAACAAATGTGATAAAAACAAACATATTCTAAGATACATAGATCATCATTATTACTTTGTGAATGGTAGAGAACATACTTTATGCATAATAGTTATATTACTTAGGATAAAACGCTTGAACCATGTTAACTAAAAGAGTATCAACACCTTGAATCTTCACATAATAATACTTCTTGATGTGATAAATGTTGCCACTTTTTTAGCATATCATCGTCTAGTTCCATGGCAATTTATCACTCAATTTAAATATATTCTTAGATTTAAGGCGCTTGCCATCATTATCATTTTTTGAACTTAGCTCACTTTTGGTTACTTACAAAAAAAAGAAATGAAATACATATCAACAAGATTTGTTGCTGTAAATAATCAGTCAACAAAGCATTTATAAATATATGATAAATGATTGTCTAGCAATCATCATGAATGAAACATATCTTACAGAAATTTATATGAAGTAAACAGTGAACTCAAGGAATTTAGTGTTTTTTTCCTATCATTAATCTACTCTCCAAAATTCTAAAATTCAATCATAATCTTACCAGACACATCAATGTGGTCTTACATCCTTGAGCCAAATGCTTTCATCTTGAAGCTTATTAGTTTCTAAGAAACGTACCACATGTTTGACAATTTTTTGCAATAAAATCTTTGCAGAATATAATTGTCATATCTATATAATTGCTTCAAAATCAAAGATTGGAATTATAATATGACTATGTTCATAATCATTTTGTGAAGATTTCTCCAATTTTTGTTGTTATAAGCTTTGTCATGATTGTCAATTTTTTTGGTCAAATAGTTAAAGTTAATTTTATGATCTTGGAGCAAATTTGTCTTCTTTTCCACTCATATGTTTCTCTCGAGATTTTCATGTTGCTTCCGAGTTTGATTAAAGTAAGTTCTTAAGGTGAAGATTACCTTTGAGCATGTGTAAGACAGATTGCATATGGAAATGAATCTCATATTACTAAATGTTTAACAAGAGCCAAGATTTAATTTTTTTTGCAGTTTGTTAGAGTTTTCTCGCTGCTATACATTAGGATTTTCCTGCCATTAGATCTTAGGATTTTAAAATTATTCTTTTTGCGATCCATAAGATTTTCAAAAAATCTTTACGAGCGAGACGTCAGTTACGACTTTGATTCGCGACATTATTGAAGTCTTGTCTAGTCTCAACTCAACCGCGATCCTCAATCCCGCAACTTCTCCTTTAATCTCCAGATCTTTCTCCAAGATCTATTTGACTTTTGATGTGTTTTTTCTTTCTTGTTCAATGCTTCTTCTTTGACTGAAACCAACAAAAATAAATTCAATCTTTTAAAAACACTACGCGTTTTTTTAATCTACGTCCTAATGTCTTGACGTAGATTGCAAGCAAAAAAATTATCAGAATCTGTCACCTCCTTCTTTTGCTTTTGATCTTTCTATCGTACATTGTTTTTACTCTTCTTTGCTCACTCCAACAACCATCATTTTAGTCTTTGTCTTTTGTTCATTGTTTGATCTTTATTCGTGAATCAGATTATGAAGCTTAAAATTATGATTCTCCATGCAACATCAAGAATTGAAAGCATAGCATATCGAGCGCAAGAATAATTTTTGCTTGCAAAAACACATATGACAAAAGAAAGCAAGCAAAATTGATCGGTACATCAAAATTGAACCTCGGCTATTCAGCTAGTGTTGATTTTTGACCTCAAAAATTGAATGAAAAACAATCAATGCATCTGACTTGACTCTGCTACAAATCTCAATTCCAATATCTTCAGTCAATTTCATTTTCAAAATTCGTCTTCTTGAATCTTCAACCACTCTACATCAAGTCAATCCTACTTATCAATCCTACTTGTGCTTCAATTTGCAAATTAGTGTGATCACCGTCATGAACAAATACAAACAATTATTTTGTTATCTGATTTCTCCGCTTTGTTTTTCTATACTCGAAACAAAGCTCACTGAGCATACCATCGATGCAAGCACAAACAACTGTTTTGTTATAAAATCTTTACTCTCTGTTTTTCTATATTGGATACAAAGCTCACTGACTATACCATCGATGCAAGCTTTGATCATCGTCTACATCTCTTGCTTGCTTTTATGTCACTATGCTACTCTAACCCATTTGTTACAGCAAATGTAGAAAAATCCAAATAATTTATAACGTCGATATACAAATAGCTCGTTTGATATTCTTGAGCTATGTACTTAGAACAAGATCTTTATTGAAAAATCTACAAAGTATACAATGCAAGTTGTGGCTTGCAATTCTACGTATAGAGGTTATTAGCAACCGTAGATCTAATCGTAACTAGGATTAAGTTAAAATTTAACTTTAATTTTAGTTAGATTAAGTAGAGTTTAATCCAAAACTTGAGTTTATCTTAAGTTAAATGTCTCATAGTGATAATCAAACAAAAACTTACAATATCTTGATAATTTTTTTGATGAACACTTTTATGAAAAAAATATTGTTATGTCTTTGATATCATAATATTCATAATTTATAACTCGTCAATGAATTGACTAATGGAAAAGAACATAAAAAATATTATTTAGATTCAAATTCAAGTTTATTTGAAGATTAAAAATCAACAATATGTTAGAATTTGACAAAAATGATGATTTTAACTAGTATTGTGATATATAACTTAAATCTAATCTTATGATGACGATTTGCTCAAAAATAAATTCTGAAATTAAATCTATATAGCATGCAATTTATTTTGTATGTTGCTATTGAATGTATGCAAGATAGTGATTTCTTCACATTTATTGATTATGATAAAGACTTCTTTGAATTACTTTTTACATAAAAAAAATTACTTCTTTCAATAATTCTATATGTTGAGTATTGAGATTGTTTCATACACAAGATTAAATTTTTTGATGAAGTTAAATGTAAATTTATTCCAGTAAATTTTATATTTTGCATGAGTAATATTAAATCTTCTACAATATTCTTTTCAACAGTAATGAATTTCCAATAATAATAATATTTTAGTTTACGATAGTTGAGACTATCTTGAAAGTGGAAAAAGATAGAAATATGTAATTGTTAGAGTGTAATATCAGTCATATTGAAGTCAATATTATCAGTTCTTGAACTCATATGTTTCATGTGGGATGTGAAGTATTCTAATATGATATACATGAATGAAACCTATTCAATAACAAGGATTTATTACTTGATCAGGTTTAAAATGACTTGGAATTTGTTCAGAATGATGTAATGAAGAAGAAATCTAAGATATATCAAAGTGTTTGAACTTATAGATCCCAGTATTCAATTACAACCGTATTCAATTATTGAATACTTTCATAGGGACTAAAGTACATATATTGCTAAAGCTTTATTCTCTTAAATGTATTAGTTGTTCCAAATAGTGAAAACATTCATGATTAGTATAACTAACTAGATCCACATGAATAAAACTATGTGCATTAGTGAATAATATCTAACATATATTAGCTAATTATCCTTATCTTATTTTTTTGGATGAAATCTAGATTTTAGGTAATCAATTTCGATAATCAAAATAAATATTTGTGCATTTTTATTCGATCATTGATTTTTAATTATTTATTTTGTAAAGAAGGACTAGACTGGACTAGACTTGGTACATATCCAACAAATCTGTAATCTGACTTACTCTACAGATTTCACGTTTCTTGAGCCGGGCCAAGTTCAGCTATGGCGATGGCTAGTTCGCCCACTTTCCTTGCAAAATGATTGTGCCTTGAGAGAAGCGCATATGGAACGCGAAAGTATGAGAATGATGGCTAAGATTCAAGAGATGATTTATCCACGGCTCTTGTGTTGAGGTGGAGGAGGTCAATTATAGTTAAATAAACTGTTTATGGGGATATATAATTTTTAATTATTCATGATCATGTTTTAAAAAAAATTGTGATAGTCAAAAAATATTATTCATAATATTTTATTTGCTCATTTCATATATAAATGAATAGTTAAATTTAAATTTAAATCAAAATAAATTTTGGTAAAATTGTGACAGTAAGAATACATCAATGATCCATTTTCGCTTGTTTATTAGTAGTATTTAACTTTTTGCAAAACTCAAATTTTAGCTGGCTATAGAAAGTTGTGAAGCGAAGATCATTGCGAAACAGGTTTGGGTTGAACATTATGTAACACCGAGATAAGTTGATTCATTCCATGGTGATTGCTATTTGATTAATTAAACGCTGTTCCGAATTTCAAATATCTTGAATTCGTCATTTGTCTACTGAAAGTACTGTATAGTTTCTACATGTTTAAATTTATTTCGAGAGAAGAATATATTGTTGCCATCTTTATATGTATGTCCATTTATCTCGCTATGATAATTTGTTTACCGCCTTCTTTCTTTATGGCGGGGTAGATTTTTCGCACTTTTATATACTGTCATATTCATGACACGAAGTGACATGAATGCCGAAAGTGCCGAAAGTGACACTGAATCTTACAATGTCACTTTCGCTAGTGAGCATAAGATGATTTACGGTGATAGAGATGTCCATCTTCATCGTTCATCTTCTCTGCAAGCGATAATTCTTCCGAACTAGGCTTTGTTCTCCCAAATTTGATGGTCATTCCTTAGTTAGTCAAAGAAGGTATGGGCAGACCAAAACACTCTGATTATCAAGGTTGTGAGTTGGTGGGTGCAGATAGATTACCAATTTTGCTAATCCTCTCACATATTCTTATCTTCATTTGCGATCGTATGCATACTATATCAAAAGTGCAGTAGACACAATCTTCTACAAATTTATTGATTTAAGTGGAGAGTAGTTTGAAGGAGTTTGCAATCTCGATGAAGTCGTTTTGGACACGAGACCACTCTTTCTCTGGAGATTGGGCATTGAGGGAGAACAAAAGGTTGTTACTAGTGCTGTAGACAGACAAGTTGTGCCTGAAGAATGTGGGGCCCTTGACGGTGAACTCTAGAGTGTAGTACAGGTTCGATCCGTCAGATCTCTGCTGAGCGGTCAAAAGAGTTGCCACTTTGTTCGATCCTTCTGGTGCGATAAACTTGTTCAGGATGCGCTCGCCTGCCTCCTGTGGTCCTCCGATTTTCTGCAGGCTGCAAAACGAGCATCATGGAGCTGTCAGTAATTTCATGCGAGCCCAGTAGCGGGAATTCACCATGCTCCGAGCGGGTCTCTCTAGACCCGCTGTTAAGAAAACAAGCTTGTGCCTACTTCGACTCCTCTCTCGACCCCTCGAATAAAAGTCCAACGATAGGGATAATACTTCATCAAGGTAACCCAAGGTTCAGCCCTTTTGAAATTATTGGGCTGTCTTCGAAAAAATTTCTGGTTGCTAACCACTGGACGATGCATGACATGCAGATTGTCTTCTTCCACGGACCAAGCAGATTGTCTACCCAGGCCCATGGAAGGAAACAATCTGGGTGTCTGAAGCTTCGTGACCACCGATCCATAGATGTAACACAGACATCCTGTTTCACATGAAACTTGACGTTGAGGTTGCGACAAGAAAAAGAAATAACAACGTTCCCGCCTGTCTGTTCATCAGGAACGTAGACTACAATTCAGACTGGACACCGGATCCATTTCCACCAAATGTCGTCACGGCCACGAGAGTCCACAGACGCCCCGCCCATGATCAAACACACGCACACACGCCCGGAACTTCCGTATGAGGTCAAGTGAAATGGTGAAAACAAATCTGTGCGCTCGGCTCATCCTCGATGTCAGTCGAGTGCCCAGAGAGCACATGCCAAGCGCGTATGAAAGACGAAGATGCAATCTCAAGACTCTACGAAGACAAGTAGACGTTGCTCCTCCCATGTCCTCGTCTCCGGTAGGAAAGAGAGATGGAGATGAGTGAGGCTGCCGGTAAAGAGCAGTAGCAGAGCGAGCTCTTCAGTCCCTTCTTCATTGCCCTGAATAACATTTCTGACCTAGAAATGCGCATCTGTTGGAGCACTTCAGAAAGTGTCAAGAGTTTCAACTGGACCAAATAATATAGCAAAATGGATGGGAGGACGCCATCGACTCGTACAAGGAAGACCCCCGTGTCAGGGTCACAGGTCTCAGTGTTCAGTCTCAAGAGTGCAGCTGGAGGTCACTTCAATCGTGCTACTACAACTAATATAGGTAAGGCAGATTGGAGATCGTTGGCAGACTTGGCAGCTGGAAGTGCTTTTCAGAGCGAGGACTGTATACACAAGATCCGAAACTGTGAGCTTTAAATACAGTGCAAGAAGACTGCCGTCCCGAGGAGATTCTCGTTGCCAAGGTAAGGACCACATGCGTAAAATTTCTTACGGCTACGACCATAAATCCTCCAAAAAGTACACAGGGCCCAGTCGATGAGCATGCACAGGAGGCCATCGAGCTTTACAGCTTCGGTTGAACGCGTCTCCCAATCAATCGCTGGAAAGTTCATATTCGTCACGTACAGCATGGGCAACCATTCGGCCTGTAATGATCTTCAGCTGGGAGATATCTACTCAGACTGAGAGTGCATCTTTGCTGAGCGGAAAAAGCAATTGTGTCATATCACGTGAACAGCCTGCCCCTTCACTAGTGCTCCACCCATGCTAGAGCGAGCCAAGTGATCCAACGATTTTCATAAAAAGATCAACTTTTGATAGCAAATTCGAAGATCCACTTCGCATATATTATTACCTTCTCCAAGAAGGTATGGCTACGTTTTGGACTCAAGTTTTTTATCAGATAGAAACGCCGAGTTTCGATTCGAACTATCTTCACATCATGAAGGCTCAGCTCAGCATCCGCTAAGCCTGACTGCCACTGCCAGAGGCAACAATCCAGAAGATTTCTGCCGCATATCTGGATGACATAAATAAATTTACATTTCCCTTATTGGATGAGGCTTACAATCCTAAGGTGGAGAAGTAAGCCTATTTACATACTTCTCACTCTTCTCGTTAACGTTCTCGCGTGTTCCGCGATCGCTGTCAGACAAACGAAGAGGGAAAGAAAATTGGCACTGCAAGGAAAGCATGCTCGTGATTTTTTCGTGAAAAAGCTATCGCGTCGGACAGCTTTCACCTGCGTGCTATGCTTAAAAGATATGGGACCTAGGATACTTCGCAAGATTTCCAGGCAACACATTCAATCATCCACAGCGACAGCAGGACCTCGATCTACGGCGTCACCATCAGCTTTCGCCATGGTGACTTTCATGATTACTTCCGATCAAATTGCTAGCGATCTGCAAGTTACATTCAAGACAGACCGTTTGTATTACTAGAACAAGTGAACGTACATCTGTGCTATTCTAGTCATCATGGAACTCAAACGACTCATAAGAGGCACGCAAAGCTACTACAAAAACCCGAAACTTGATTAATTAGTTCCACGAAAAATTCGAAGTGGCGAGACGGGAGCATGATGGGCCAAAGATTCCACCCCCAAAGTTAAAATTTCGCTTTGATATTTACAGGAAGCTCCTATCACTATCATTCCATATTTACGAATTTCTTCAGTTAGTAACTACCTCCGGATTTTATGAAACTCCACCTAAAACCACCTAGTCGAAGTCTATATGTCACTATTGACACAATTCTGCACACATTGTACATATCTCACAACCAAGGCATAAACACACTTCAAGAATCCATCGAATTTACCTTACACCGAGACACCAAAATCACGACTTTTTTTCACATTTTACACTAACAGTTTCAATGACGCATTCGCTTGAAGATAGCAACAAATTTAGCTGTCATAATGAGACACCATAATCATAACTTCTTGTGAACGACCCACAACCAGAGTTTGGTAGCAAACATTTATAATTACCAAAAGTGAGCTCTATCACTAAAAGGTGGCTGAGGACATGGTTGCGATTCCCACTGGCGACATGATGGCTGGGCCGAGGCCACGGCAGATCGAGTACCAGAAAACCAATTGTCATGTGTTTACGGAGTTGATACCCAAACGAAGATTAGGTAGAAGTTTCTAGAGATACGTTAGACAATGTGATGAAGAGAGGACCAGATCATAAAAAAATATAAAATTATTTTAAATTCCCCACAACAGCGGTCTGGGAACACGCTTCGAAAATTCAGCGAACGTACCTCTCACACTACAACAGCAAAGTCATAAATTTTAGTGAACCTCCAAGGCCAACGTTGATAGCACACTACGCATTTTGCTAACTCAAAGTCAAACCAAAACCGACCATCACCTAAGTCACTCTTTCATTCTAGTTCATGAGACTAGACAAACTAGACATATGATCAAAACTTGAAAGTCAAAAGGTAGAAAGCTAAATTCCATGTTGTAAGGCAAGCTTTAACCCACCCAAAACAAGAATTGTGACAACTGGTAGCAACAGTACGATACAGAATGGCGCAGCGGCAGGGTGATGCGCATAGACGCACCCACGGATCCCATGCACGCAACTTTCATCTCGTTGAATCTAAGGGCTTCCGGGAACCATGGTTTATTTTTTACTTGTATCTTAAAGAAGCACTTTGCTTTTTTCAAGGTACTTTGGTACAAGTATAGACACACTAGGCAAATAATCAATAAATTTCCATTTCTTAAAGCTATGATAGGGGGTCACATGCTATAGCAAGAGAAATAGAGAGATCAATCAAGCCATAGGGATGAAAGTTGCTAAGTGGCCACACGGGTAATATGGGTAAAAAATATTTACTGTAGTACATGACCCGCTAGTCATGTAATCATAACTTCAAAGTCATCAGGTTGTAAGATTGATACGATGTTGTCCATATAGCTCTATTGCCAGAGAAATGAATCATAACGACAACACGCTGTGGCGTCACGGATCAGAGTGGCGGAGCGGAAGCGTGATGGGTCCATATCCCACAGATGCTAAGGACGAAAACTTGCTCTGATAGCCAAAGACAACTTTCAGAATCTAGCTTTTATCTTTTCCTCCAGCATGATGAAGTTGTAGCTTCCACAAAGTTAGATACACTGTCTATACACTCCGAAGTCAAGACGTAAACAAAAAAATATACAATGTTGGACTAAACTCATTTGCAAGACAAATCGAGATTTATGCCCATAAACCGTTTCCCATGAATCAGAGTGGCGCAGCGGAAGCGTGGTGGGCCCATAACCCACAGGCCCCAAGATCGAAACTTGGCTCTGATACTCACAGAGGGCTTCCAGAAATTGGTTTTTTTGCCTCCAGCACTTGCTGGAGAACCAGCGTACATAGAGTTTGATTACCTATACACTCAAAAGTCAAGACCTTTTTTATACATAGTCCTTCATCACTTCATGAAGTTCGAGCGCACTCAACGTTATACACATCAGCTACAACACTCAGACCTCAAGATGTAAACAAAATTATACAATGTTGGACGTAACTCATTTCAAGACAACACCAAATATCTGTCTGCTACATCTCACACCATGAATCAGAGTGGCGCAGCGGAAGCGTGGTGGGCCCATAACCCACAGGCCCCAAGATCGAAACTTGGCTCTGATACTTACAGAGGGCTTCCAGATATAAAATCCTTTTTGCCTCCAGCAATTGCTGAAGAATCAGCGTACATTAAGTTAGAGAAAATTGACTATACACTTCAAAGTCAAGACCTTTTCGATACATAGTCCTCCCTCACTTCATGAAGTTCGAGCGCACTCAATGTTATACACATCACCTACAATACTCAGACCTCAAGATGTAAACAAAAACATACAATGTTGGACGTAACTCATTTCAAGACAAACCGAAATTTGTGTTCGCTGGAACACACACCACGAATCAGAGTGGCGCAGCGGAAGCGTGGTGGGCCCATAACCCACAGGCCCCAAGATCGAAACTTGGCTCTGATACTCACAGAGGGCTTCCAGAAATACAGTCATTTTTGCCTCCGGCAATTGCTGAACAATCAGCGCTTATTAAGTTAGACAAATGAACTATACACTCGAAAGTCGACACCTTCTCGATACCTTTTCTTCCAACACTTCATGAAGTTCAAGCGAAATCAAATTTATACACACCACCTACAACACTCAAAACTGAAGTTGTAAACAAAAAACTACAATGTTGGACGTAACTCATTTCAAGACAACGCCAAATTTGTGTCCGCTGAACCCCACACCACGAATCAGAGTGGCGCAGCGGAAGCGTGGTGGGCCCATAACCCACAGGCCCCAAGATCGAAACTTGGCTCTGATACTAATAGAGAGCTTCCAGAAATACATTTATTTTTGCCTCCAGCAATTGCTGAACAATCAGCGTACATAAAGTTAGACAAATTAACTATATACTCAAAAGTCAAGACCTTCTCGATACCTTTTCTTCCATCACCTCATGAAGTTCAAGCGCACTCAAAGTTATACACACCACCTACAACACTCAAACCTGAAGTTGTAACAAAAAACTACAATGTTGGACGTAACTCATTTCAAGACAACGCCAAATTTGTGTCCGCTGAAACCCACACCACGAATCAGAGTGGCGCAGCGGAAGCGTGGTGGGCCCATAACCCACAGGCCCCAAGATCGAAACTTGGCTCTGATACTAACAGAGAGCTTCCAGAAATACATTTATTTTTGCCTCCAGCAATTGCTGAAGAATCAGCGTACATAAAGTTAGACAAATTACCTATATACTCAAAAGTCAAGACCTTCTCGATACCTTTTCTTCCATCACCTCATGAAGTTCAAGCGCACTCAAAGTTATACACACCACCTACAACACTCAAACCTGAAGTTGTAACAAAAAACTACAATGTTGGACGTAACTCATTTCAAGACAACGCCAAATTTGTGTCCGCTGAAACCCACACCACGAATCAGAGTGGCGCAGCGGAAGCGTGGTGGGCCCATAACCCACAGGCCCCAAGATCGAAACTTGGCTCTGATACTAACAGAGAGCTTCCAGAAATACATTTATTTTTGCCTCAAGCACTTGCTGAAGAATCAGCGTACATAAAGTTAGACAAATTACCTATACACTCAAAAGTCAAGACCTTGTCGACTCCTTTCTTCCATCACTTCATGAAGTTCAAGCGCACTCAAAGTTATACACACCACCTACAGCACTCAAAACTGAAGTTGTAAACAAAAAAGTACAATGTTGGACGTAACTCATTTCAAGACAACGCGAAATTTGTGTCCGCTGAAATTCTCACCACGAATCAGAGTGGCGCAGCGGAAGCGTGGTGGGCCCATAACCCACAGGCCCCAAGATCGAAACTTGGCTCTGATACTCGCAGAGAGCTTCCATGAAAAAAGCTTTTTTCTTCGCCAGCCTCATTAACCGAGGAACTAGCGTGCTCAAAGTAAGCTGCGGTACCTACCCACTCAGAAATCCAGACCTAGTTTATCTTTGCCTCCAACACATTACGGAGTAAAAGCGTACGCCAAGTTGACACACTAAGTATACAGTCAGAATTCAAGATGTAAACAAAGAGAAACATTACTGAAGCGATCGTAGTACATGAAGGGAATATACTCCTATGTTCTTTGAAACAGAATGGGGTAGGCACCGGCCATTGCAAAATTATGACAAACGGTTCCAAGAGCACGAATCAGAGTGGCGCAGCAGAAGCGTGGAAGCCGACAGGGCCCTAGGTGAGCCTCATGTGTTGACAGACATGTAAACTTTTGTTGAGATGTTCTTGACTCGTCCTTTGCGAAAGCACTATCCATTTTCTTTTCACAACTTTCAGCTGCATAGCACTCAACAGCACTAAATTGCAATCCCCGGGTTCTTTTCAGTGTCAGGCCACAAAAAACACCAATGGCCCTGGAAAGTCTGAGACCTGACAAGGAATACCCTCAGACAAGCATCAGAGTGGCACAGCGGAAGCATGGTGAACCCATAACCCACAGGTCCCAAGCTCGAAAAATGTCTCTGATGTGCATACTGAGGGCTTGCCACCCTAAACCATTGACATTCGAATTTAGACGCAGTCGCAGAGAAAGCACAACCATCCCACGACTTTTTCATCCTCCATCAAAAAATTTCACGCTAACCTAAGTTATTGTAGATTTATAACACAGACAAAGTGTTTGGTTAGATTCATGGAGGCATGACTCTACAACCCACCTCCTGAGGTACATCCAAGCCAGCAAAAGATGGCAATGGAAATAACATGCTATCAGCACTACAGAGTATGACAAGCAGGCAGGAGCTGACGTAAGACAGCATTAAGTTACAAAAGAATTAGTTCCTCTATTTTAGGAGTCCTAATAGACGATACGAAATAAGAGAGCATCTACAATAATGAAGTATTCATGTCCATCATAAAAACCTACATGCTATGGTAAATCATAGTAGATCCCAGTGGACATTAGGGCACTGTGAAGAGAAAGTGTATGCTTCAAAACAGGAACAACGTCACCCTCAGTATCAGCTTGTCTTGGTATGACCTAGTTCAGTCCGAACCTTCGTCTGCTGTTGGGACCAGTTGTGTGTTCAAGGAATTAGGTCTACTTTCAGTAGTTGTACCATCTAGTGCCATGCAAATATTCGACCAGCATGCTTCGTCAGAAAGGCCATTCGAAAGAGCGTCTAGAATGGAACGTTGATTCCAGAATCGGTTGAGCTTTTTGGCTTGGTCTTGTCCGTTCGAAACTGACTTTTAAAAATTATTTTGAATTCAATTTCGTAGATTGGCTTCTGACTTTTTGAACCCGCCACACCCAAAGTCCACTATCGCATGACTCTCTCCAGATGAGAATGAAACGCCTGATAACGTGGGTGAGCTGCACTACTGTAGTTGAACGTGTTTATCCGCTCGCTAAAGAGAAGTAATAAAATATTGTTCTTAGTGAACAAAACGGCGAAGTACAAAACTCAAAATCAGATGACTGTTGAAATGAAAAATCCTCACCACAATCTGTTCAATCGGGCTTTACGCCTAACATCTCAGTCAGTCACGCCCGTTCATTTGCAGAATAAACACTAGATTTGGGAATTGGACACTGTTCCAGACTTCCCACAATAAAGGCATATTGAGGACTATTACGATGAAAGCAAGTAATGGTGAAATCCTTCATCCCTCTCTAGGGACCGTGGAATTAGTAGCAAGGTGATCTCATGTGACTCCACGGATTGTAATAGATGTCAAGTTAACACTCCACATACAGACCCCGACAACGAAACTTGCCCCGAGCGGAATGCGGTTCCCAACCTACAAAATTAGAGTTCATACAAGCTGCAGTCTTCAAACAATGACCAATCCCAAATCTTCCGCAACTTCATTCTAGTTCTAGCTAAATCACTCCGTGCAGGTAATCAGCAGAGGGCTGAGTTTATGAGTTTCAGGTTGTGCAGTCCCCTGATTTTGTAAATATTGGAGACTGTGCTGGACAAAACAAAACCCCAACTTACAGCAAAATTCTGTGGCCCATCAATCCATCTACGAGAATCAGCTCAGGGAAAGCGAACATACCTGAAACCAGGAAAAACAGGTGCAACAACAACGCTGACGTTCAGTTCCCCTTCAGTCCCAGGTGGACCAAATGCCACAATTGGATCTGATGATCTTCTCTGGTTACGTTGTCGTTCTCCTTGAATTGGAGGTAAATCAAGCGATCTTTCTCTCTCTGCGCGTTCTACGGCACGATAAACCAGTCTCTGGTCTCCAACCCAGTTTGACGGATACACAAATTCTGCGAGTGACGATAATGGTACAAAATCAGAGTAAACTTTTTTAAAAAAGTCCATGCATCAAATAAGTTCCCCCGCTTCAGCTTGAGCGCTCAAACAATGACAGCAAACCACTTCAGTTTCATAAATTTAAACACCAATGTATGATATACAAATCATGAAGCTTAACTGGCAGCTTGGCAAATACTGAAGCAATTGACTCTGAAATCACGGAGAGGTTTACCCCGAATGAGCAAATCACTTGCAACAAAAAAGTGCAGAGTCTAAAATGTGCCAACAATTCCGAATCCATCCCACCAACAGATCATTGACGTTAATGTTCCAACGTGTCAGAGGCGAAGTACAATGATGCTACGCACCAAAACCTTGACTTGTTTCTAAGCATCTTTTGAATCCTTTCACGGGGAAGAGCAGATCAGCTCGAACACTTCGAGAGAAGTCAGGATTCGTGTTGAAAATAGCACTCGTCAGGCCTCCTAAGTTTCCTCCGAGAGCAACCAAAGTTGCCACCGATGTGCCGAGCCAGAATCTTCTGGTCTGAAGTAGAGAAAACGCTTCCGCACCCACATCCAGCCCACCACGGATATCTTCCACTGCCTTCACGTCAACTGTAGAGGTGGAAGGTGAAGCACTCTCATCGTCCGGGCTGAGGGGGCCTGTCTCTTTACTGCTAGACAACGGAACAGCCAGTTCTCTACCAGCATATGCACATTTTCTACCGCCGTTCCTGAAACGAGAGCTCAAATGTTCCTGTGAAAGTGTTACAGAAAACTTTGACTTCGGCACAACACCTGAGGGTAGAAATTGACCATCGTTTGGTAATTGCAAGGCGAGCAGTTGTCTGCAGTTCGCCAAATGCGCCGAGGCAGAAATGATCGTGGTCATGGATTCGTCAGAGACTCTCGAACCTCGTTCAGACGACTAGAGAATTTCTGGCCCAGACTTCCGCACTATCTGTATGCTCCGAGAAGCTGATGAGTCAGGACTCTATCTGGACAAGTGTGAGCGTCCCTTGCCACCATACACAACTCGTCTGCCAGTCTAAAGCCCTTCGAAGTAGGCCACACGCACGTCGTGACGTGTGGCCTGCTGAGAACATCTTCCGTGTAGACAGACAGGCACTGCTGCCATATAAACAAACGGCGGCAGCCCATCTCGCTGAGCACGCTGGTTTAGGACCAGCTGCCTGCACCAATGGTTCAGATCGCAGGCAGCTCGGAGTGTTACCTCCATAATTACAATTGGATCCCGGCTCGTGAAAGCGCTTTTTTCACTTTCACTCTGCCACATATTTTCGGGCGTCTAGGCCCCTCCAACGCGGCCTTTGGAGGGTCGACGTACTCCTCGCAGATGATCCCTGCACTCCTGTCACACGATGTAGATCACGAGTTGCCGATCTCGTTCCCGGAGACAGTTTTCGAGTGTGCTCCTCGCTAATTTCGTGTTTTCGGGACCGTTCCCGCGGAATCTTGCGAATGTACAGTAGAGTACTTTGGAAACAAGGCGCGGGCAGAATGGCGGGAAACGGTGAAGGCTTCGAATGGTGCGAACAATTCTGAGTCCCCCGCTGGAATTCGAATTGGCTCTGGTGTCGGGCTGCGTGGATGTGGATGTGGCGACTGGGACGTTCCGTCGGCGCCTTGTGCAGAAGTGATGTTGGGGATTGAACCATGCTCACGGCGTTCTGTAGCGACGTGGAAAGTCTAATCGCGCTGTGCAACTTTTACCGCGGTGAGTTTCAGTCAGTCTGGAGTTTTTCAACAAGTTCACTCTGTGATCGGTGGACACACTTTCAGACACGAGGAAAGCGTCGAGGTCTATAAACATACATTAAGATTTTCTACTTTGCTTATCATGATTACAAGTCCACGAAGCCATCGATTGAGTTCACTATAATGTTTTCTCCTCTTATCTGTAACGATGTTTACTCCTATGGGAACATTATGCGCATGGCAATAATTAAAGTTCTTTAGTATGATTAAAATCCGATTTCATCAAACTCATATTCACATATTTTTTTAAAAATAAATCAAAAAATATTACTATCCTTTAATTGATCCATAATAAACAAAATTCACTCTTTTAATAGCCTATAATCCAATTCAAATTTATTCTTAGTAAATCAGGACACAGTTTGATTTTTTATTATAAAATCACAAAATTAAGAAGAGCGGATAATGATGGACTTATCGTTTAAGAGAAGTGTTGTTAACTGTTACAAATATTTCCTGCAAGTATATAATAAAATAAAATACATAAAAAATTTAAATGGTTATTAAAATGTCTACTCAAAAAATTGTATGTCTAGGATACAAAAACATAATAAAAATCTCAAATTAGATCCACACTTTCTTTATAATTTTCATGTTAGTTTTATTATGTTCACATAGTTTAATTCACATAATTCACGCGTTATTATTATTCACATAACTAATTTGTGTTATGTGTGATCAGATATCTCTATAACTATTGATTCCAAATTAAATATCATTTAAAGATTCTATTGTTAGTCAATTTGAAAATCTATGGCTTAAATAGTGCATAAATTCCTTGCAGTGCAATTCGAATTCACAACATCATCAATTTTATTCAAACTTTGTCTGGATAGAGACATACAACAGAAATCAAATTTGTGACGTTAAATGTTTCGAGAAGTCTTCTCAAACTTGACATCGATAGTATGAGCAACATTTGCACATTATACAAATTATGAATGTATAAGCTAACAGTGTAAGTATGTTTATCGTACGTACGAATATTTGCTATTATTTTACATATGAACACTTAAAACATACAGATTTATTTTTATAATATATGTTTTGAAAAATCCAAAATACACACGAAGTATGTTAAAATAGTTATTGTAATATGCATCTGTGGACATTGAATTTACCATCAGTGGTTTATTTAGACTTATATTTTCAACAAAAAAGGAGAATATAAAAACTATGTTGTTCGTAAGTACAAAAAGATCGAAATATCTGGAAAGCCTATTTGAGACTTGCAATAATAAACCAAGAGCATCACAAATAAAGTCATTACCTCTATTCACTTTGCATAGTATACATGTAATTATCTGAGAAAACTATTACAAGTTTATGTTAAATTATTTATCAGATTAATAATCTTATCTTATATCCCTGCAACATACAAAAAATCAAATCTTTGATCTAGTACAAATTTAACATATCACATTGAATTCAACTAATCCACACATAAATGTTATCTTAAATGTATGGTTGATTTTTTAAATTGAAATGTGTGCAGTGCTAGTGTTTTCTAGATATAATCGTAAATGTAATAACATAGAAAAAAATGTGTTGGAATTTAGTAACATACAACAACATATTAAAACTGTGGATTTTTTTCCATTTGCTGTGCATAAAATATCATTGTATATACTACACTGATGTTTAATTAATTTGTTTATTAAATTTAATTTAATTTTCATCAAAAAATCAAAATTTCCGAAATAAATGAAGTGATATAAAATTCGAATAATATAAATTTAAATAGTGTAGGATATTTATAAGTTAGAATATTTTTCTGACTGAAAATGTATCACAACTTAGAACAATCAGTGAAGGCTGATTTTTAATTTTTTTCCTTCTTATCTGTAATTATCAAAAAAATATTAAATTACATCTAGAACGAAGAATTCATAAGATCTGATTTTTTCAAAATACCTCAAAAATCTTTTTTAAAATAAAATCAATTATTTTAATAAATTTGGATGAAATAGATTTTAAAACTTCAACCAATTTCAGTATGTACAACCAATATGGTAAGAGACGTATTTAGAATATCTATTTTGCATCCATTTTTTTTCTTCATATATATTAAAAATTAGAATTAACTTACATCTGAAGACTGTGGTCTGAAGTATAGGTTCAAGTGAAGGTACATAACTACAACAATATAAAGCCATGGATAGATTTCAGCTTTGACAACATTAATAGTAATAATAATCTGAGTTATCATTTTAGATATGACTAGTTTGCTTCTAAACATAATTGTTACTTGGTTGGGTGTTCTAAATATCAACACATAAGTTCCAGTTCAGATTACAAATACTGTACTTGATAAGAAATAACTTATTTCCTTAATCCGAATGAACTGAATGCGAAGAAACCCTTGAGAACTTTGTGTATACGTATGTCAGGGTGATTAAACACGAACAAAAAGTACAGTAGTGTATCTTGAAAACTGCAGTACTGCTGTATCGTAGTTGGAATGAAAGAGCGTGATTTCATCTACGTGGTTTGTCTGGATACTCAGTAGTTACGGTGGTCGGCTTGAGAACATGGTCAATAAACCCTAATTTCCAGACAGGGTTCGACGAGCACGTTCCTGAATCGTACATATTCTTCTCTAAGTTCTCGATATGGCAGAGGCGCACATTCCAGCGGGCGCTGAAGTGCTGCGGTGCTTATATCTTCTGCGTCTTTCCTTTTGTCAATTAGTCCCAGTACATGTGTTTCGATTCTTGTTTAGTGTCTGGCTGGCGGAACGTTACGCGGAAGTGATTTCACGGTTATGAGGTTGTCACGGGGTTCAATTCATCTCAGCAATGACGATGTAGGCCGCGAAGGATTCAATGTTAAGTAGGATGCTGGTGTAAGTCGATCGATGTGTGTAAGTGTCTACAGGGAGGCAGAGTCAAGAAAATCAAGTCTTTTCGTATGCATTGTTTTCTTAAAGATTCTCTGTGATGACCCAACGATGACGAGACTGAGCTCTTGTCTAGGAACGTCGGTGGAGTAACGCGCTTGAGATGTTCTATCTCAAATGTGGTTGGCCATCGATTGCGCCTAGGCAGCTGGCTTGCCAGTTGTAGTGAAGCAGAATCGAGGCATTTGTCTGAGAGATTGAAACTGACTGATTTGTCAGTTATTAAGATGTGGATTGACGTGGTATAGGTCTGAGTCTGCCCGATGAAGGACATAATCTTTGAGACCTGACAGCTGACCGAAAGGTCGGATTTGTTGACATCCAGCATGTATTGCTGAGGGCTTAAGACTCTACCACACCTCGCCTCTCCCATTCGACATCCAACTAATGAATTTCTCACTGATGACATTTTACGATGACGAGTCTGAGCTCTTGTCTTGACGCAGTTCCGACCAAAAGTTTCGGGGATGTTTTATTTCCGTTGTGGATGGTCTGTTGTGTGTGAAGGCAGCTGGCTTGCCAGTGGCTCTGAGAGATAATCGAGGCATTTGTCTGAGAGATATAATGGAGAAAAGTCGCCAATACGGGATGAATTCAAATAAATTGAAGATTTTACGTGGAGTAGAACTACTCTCACGCGGAGGGTTTTATGGACTCTAAACTGGGAGTAGCAATACTTATGAACTTTGAACAGGTAGCTTTCGTTCTTGTTAACGAGGATGATTGTTCTCTACACAAGTTCTAGATGGGAACACTAAGGCCTTGAAAAGAAACAATGGACGCTAAAGAATAGCACCGGAGAAGACGCATTGAAAGTTGAAAGAGAAACTGAACATTGGAAATGATTGTGGTCCCAATTTTTGGAATGTCACTTCGGGTGAATACGCAGAAGAATAGATCCACAGTAGAAAGTTCAAATCGTTTCAGGTGTTTTAAAATTTGGCACTTCTCAGTCCGGATTAATCTTTCAGGTTGGTAAGAAGTTGATAAGAAGACGATCGACGTGCAACTGGGCAACTCAATGTTCGCAAGTACTGTTCACTGAATAGATTGTAGATATCCCACCGATGGATGTCTGAGAAGACGATCGTCATAAATCTGAAAAACGTAATGTTCGTAAGTACTGTCCACTGAGTAGATCTCAAATAACCTGCCGATGGATATCTTTGACAATTGATCTCGGTCGACCTTGAAGAATGTATACAATTTGTCTGTCAACATGAATCCATTCTTCGTCTATAACTTGTCCTTGAAATACATCAAGAAATTAGATCTAGATTATTTTCAAGTGTCTCAATTTACTCACGTTGTTTGTCAGCAATTATGCTCAAACCACAATTGCCGACAATAAATAACGAGAGAAACGAAAATTCAATTCGATTACCAGGATAATCTCTTGCCAAAGTCTCTTGAATTGCGAAGGCTAGAGTTGCCACAAGTTTGAGTAGTACAATCTCGTATTTTTATAGTCAACCCTATTTGAACACAATTAGCATGAGAAGTTTGAGACACGACAAAGTAATTCAACTTTGAATTTCTTGATGCCTGTCAGGTACAACTTATCAACGAAAAATAGATTATGTTAATGGACAAATCGTATACCTTCTTCAAGGTCGACCGTATAAATCCGTCCTACAAGCTTTGTGAGATCCAAAACCATAGTCACTTATTTAGAAATAAATCCGTCCTACAACCTGTGTGAGATCCAAACCCATAGTCACTTATTTAGAAATTTGGAGATGGCAAACAAATGCTATAAAGCTTCGCATTCTCACATCGGACTACGTATTCACTTCCTAGCAAGGTTCACCGGAAAATCCATTAATGTGGAGGCAATACAGGCAATCCCTGAACATCTCTGCCAAAGGATCGCAGACTGAGAAACTTTGCTCTTGAAATATAAGACACCAACATTTGTGCTTCTTGTGGACCTTGAATTAAGTGCGAAGTAAGAATGTTCCGTGAGATTTACAATGTGATAATAATCATCATAAGCTGAGTGATTCCATATTAAGAAGATCTATGCATGCGAAATTGGCCGAAGAGTGGCATCCTTTCAAACGTCTCTTTCTAGAACCAGTGTCAGCGGTCCATCAGCCACAAAGCTCGCTTTCAGGGCAGCCATGGTGTCATCCCAGCATCTCCCATCCGCTTTGTGAAGCATCATGACACGTACAGGAGCTCGTATGCCAAACAAATCCACCACTACCCCCACCTGAAATTAAAAAGCAGTGTCGTGGTAAGTTAGACCATAAAGCATATGCACCAGTAGATAGTCAGGTCCCCACCATGGCAGCACAATCTCTTCAATAACCTCAAGTCTGCAATCTGAAATATATCATAGTTGCACAACATGAGCGTTCTGCAGCATCTGGGATGCTGAATTGAGACTGCACTTTCGTTGCGATGAGACGCTCGAAACTACGAGGGAGAATCGAGTCGCAAATCAGGTCACATTGGCCACAGGATGCCTCACTTTCACGAAGGAACAGCAAAAGGGCGTCGTACACAGGAACTCACCGTCGTGGTTGCCCGAAGGATGTCTCCGGGTCTTACGTCGCCGTTCAGAATGACGCCACCGCCACAAGATTTTCTGTTACTATCTGCTCCCTGGAACATCTGATTCACCCTGGCAGCACGCTGGGCATGAGATCCCTGAACCAATTCGGCAACCACTACTCTCTCCTTGTTCCTGCTCTCGACTGCCTCAAATATTATGCCCAAGGGCTTCCGCAGAGTCACCTGTGGCACATTCCAGTCAAACATGTAGCCATCGTCGTTACAAAGAAAGTCTAGCCGGCGAGGCCAGATTCACCAAGGTCCAGCATCAGGCGCAGCGGTGATCACCTTTGAACCAGATGTTGGACTCATATTGGACATCTATTCTCACACAGTATCACCCAATAGTCTCCATAAATGTGACGGGGCAAAAGTATACAGTACCAATTTGGTTGATTCTCAAATCCATCCTTCGCTTTCAAGTAATCAGGAAAACAAACGAGTACGAATTCGTCTACACATTCTGATCTGAGAGCTGGTACTGCGAAATTCTACTTGCTCACAACGGACGATATATCTAACTAGTGGTCAAGGTCTTGGAGATAACGAATTCAATGGCTAAGAATCCGCCTACTGGATGAGCCTCGGAATTGAAGTTGGGAGCAATCGGGGTGTTCTTACTTACAACTACAAAAACGCTGGAAGGACCAAGTAATCTCTTGAAAGTAAAAGTCTGCTCGAGGCAATTTCCAGTGGGCCCGACAGGGATTTTCAGCTTCACCTCCTCACGATCGTCCTTTCCTCCCTGTCCTCCCTCCCCTTGGTCAAAATTGTAGACGTTCAGACTCGATGCACTGACTTGTGACTCACATCTCTGCAATTCAGAATTCAGCGCGCCTAGTGATTTGCTCGTAAGCTGCTGACCCCGCATCCGCGAACACCATGATAACTTTCGAACAGAATACTGAGGAGCATTCGAGTCCAATCTGGTCTGCCCCAAATTCGTGGAAATTCGAGGAAAAGCCTCCAATCCACACGGAGTAGCGATTGAGGCGGACGAAGAACCAAACCAAGATGCTCTGTGCGAGCAAATGATTGGCATCCTCTGAGAGAAAACAAATCCTAGCCCACAATGTCTTTCCTCTGAGATGATCTGCACAAGAACGGGATCAAGAGTATCCTGGTTTCACACAGAGCGGGAAATCGAGGTCATGTCCAGAGGAGGCAGGGATGGAGGCAAGGAAGAAGATCGATCAAACGCTCGTTGGTGCATAGCCTGCAGCAGTTCCTCGCAGTCGAAGAATTTCGAAGGTTCTGAAACGGTAAGCGCACAAATTGGCGCAAGAGCCCGCAGGGACGACGACCCCGATCCCAGCCAGACCATGAGACAGTCAGGGCAGTCCCAGAACGTACCGTAGTCCCCCTACCGTTACCTTCGACAGCAGTGAAAAATCGCAGCATTCGGAACTTTTTGGCATCAAGTGTCCCACAGGAAGTGGACTTTTCACCTCGAGCGTCCACGTGGCCCAATCCGAGGCCTGGGAAAATGTGGATGCAATCTTGCTCGAGTGTACGTTCCGTAGAGCGTCCGCTGGCGCCTGATCCCCGTCTGCGACTTTCGACATTGTCACGAGGAAACGGAGATTCGGAGGTTTGAATTCTGTCTCGTTTCTCAGCCCGGCGCGCTCCTGGACGTCAGATCCGACTGCCGCCGCCGCGTGCAGCTGAAGGTCAGTGGAAGGGAAGGCAGTTCTTGGTGTCCTCGAAGTTGAAGAAGGAAGTGCCATCGCTGCTCGGAAATTGGAAGTGCCATTGCGGCGGAATGGCCCTATCGGTGGGACGTGCGTCGTTGCAAATTGGGCTTGCGAAATGTCAGTCGGTTCAGGTTCTCGGAACCAGCGAATCATCAGCCATGCCCAGGCCGTTCGGAATGTCTTGCGACTGGAGATCAAGAGTCCGCGCAGGGACCAAGGTGTCTGTGAGGTCGTCCGAGGGGTTGGCTGAGGAGGCGGACTCGAGTGGCTGGGAACAATTAAGCGTCGATTGTTCTGACAGGCATTTGATCGGAAGTAACACGGATGAACTCGTCGCTGGCGGTCGCAGAGGAGTGTTGATGTCCATGGTCCTGTTCGGCTTGTCAGCTGCGCAGATGGCCAAAGCAGATGATTCTCCCCAGGGTTAGAAGTTTTCCATGTCGAAGATTGGAACTCCCTTCGCTAATTTCTGTTGAAATGAATTGGAATTGAAGTCGGCACTTTCTGCTGCGACAGCGGTACTAACAGGACTCTCTCGCCAGCATGCAGATACTGCACCACTCCCACTTGAGGTTTTCAGCGATGCCAAGGATGGCTTCACGATGCTACGACCTGCAGTTTGGAAGAAGGTGATTATTTTCCATTCTCGCTTCCAAGTGAATGCTCCGTAAAAGCACGGCCGGCTGCGGTCACGAAGGTGGTAGTCAGTCACGACCCTCTCTGAACTCTTTTCTTCGTTGCTCCGTGTTTGGTTGATTTGAAGGTGGATAAGCCTGGCGCCACAGTTTTCTTCGAAGACCCTGAGATCAGAGGCAACAACATTGGGGTAACCGTAAATCCTGTCCGCATTGCCTCTCTAAAGGCTTTCGGGACTGTGGACGATGTCACAGAGAAGCTGATTCAAGCTGAACGAGACAAGGTATGCTAGTGGTTGCTGAAATCCCTTAAATTTATTTCATCCTTCGACTGTTGGATTTTGAGTTTGTGATCTCCCTCAGTTCGAGAACAGAGCTGTGGATTGAGGTCGATTGTTGATCGGAGGTGGTTCCATCTGTGGTATTTTTTAGTGAGGAAGACATTACTGATCGTCGCTGCGTGTGCTATCGCAGCCTAGCACCAAGGACATGCAGGTAATCAGAGTTCAGGAGAAGCAGTTGCTGAAAGATACACCTCTGTACACTCTGGAGTACACTCTTGACACTTCGAGAGGCAGCAAACGTGTTCTCACAGCCGTGACTGTCTCGGGATATAAATTGTACATTCTCAGTATTGTTTACGTTGACGGGGCTAAATCTCCTGCGCCAGTGGACGTCGATGATGCCCTCCACAAGGTGCTCAATTCCTTCGAGCTACTAGCTTGAGTTTATCCAGAAGTAAAAAGTTTGTTATTATTCAATTGACCTTGTTTCTTGAAAGTCATTACTTATCAACAAGTTCTTGTTTCATTGATCGGCGTCCTCTGCCTGTACATCTCGGCTTGTCACAAAACGTGAATGAATGGTTCCTCTTGAATCGCACTTTTCTCTTGTATGAAAAAATATCCTATATGCAGTTGAAGAAAAATCGATGTACATTCTTTCAAAATTGTAAATGATCATCACACTATATCAAGCCTCTAAAGTATTCTAGGATTCGTCTACATAATTAACCAAAATTTAAATTTGCGGCTCCCATAAATTAAGGACGCCGTCAGTATCATAGTGCTGAGACACGGGGAATGGGCCTTCGTAAAAATTGAGGTTTTACGAAGAAGAATTAGAGAGTGATTTCTCTTTTGCATATATTGCCTGCTTTGCTTGATGGTGCGTGAAGCTTTATCATATAATCTCCATGAACTCTTTACCCGATATCCCTGACCACACATCCTGCACCTTAAATTATATTCCACCGGTCATTATCTTTTACATTTTTTGCCCGCGGAAGAATTTTCATCCATCACAAACCATTGTTACTGTAATCCATATTTCCTCAAAAGGATGTAACATATCCCACTTGCTTCTAGAAGTTTGCTCCTTACTTGCAGTATTGATTTTCGCACTCTTGAAGGTGTGATCTGACATTGGCTCGATGATACAATCTCATTTGAAATCCAAGTGGCCTTCATAATTGTTTCATGTCAGTGAGGGCTCTTAGTTTTTACATGTTCAGCTTCTAACATTCAACATATTTCTCAGAGATAATTTATCTAAGTCAAATTTAGACTAAGTAAATTTCAAAATTAAAAAAAATAGATCCATAATTTAAATCAATTTCGATAATTAAAGAAAATCCCAAGCTTTAAGAGTTCTGCACTATATAAATTGTCAGCATGAAATATTCAAGCTATTGTATTAAAAAATTAAAAAATATTTCCAATAAATAAGCTGATAAGAAATTTATATATAATTTTCTAAATGATTTTTTGACATCATATTTATGAAAAAATCTCTGAAAAAATATAAATTTTAAAAAATACTGATATTCGAAACACTATATGATATTTGTATTATGTTTCAAATATCAATATTTGTTTATTGAACATAATATTTCACTTACTTTACTGAATTAATCTGAAGAGCACAGCACGTAAATCAGTCCACCACAGTTACTCCAACATCGGCATCAAGATGGTGCGAGTACGAATTTTCGCCCGACTGCGAACAGCCCAGGGGTGTAGAGCTGAGAGTGGAGTGTAGCGACTTGACATGTATCCACCATGAGTCATGGTCCATGACCAGCAACTCTGTGTATAGTTTTTTCCTCATATGAGCAAAAGCGTCAGGCAAAGTATTACTCTGTATATCTTCAGCATCCTGGAACTTCAAGAACTGATCACCTCCATGACGAGTCTTGGAGGTGATAAGATCTGATCAGAAATTCCAGCATGTGTAGGATGTATAGCAAGATGTTGCTATTTTCATCACTGATCAGCCGCTTGGATCGAGGCACCGCAGCATCATGTCGCCCCGTCAGCAAGCACAAGAACTTCTCGACCGTCACTTCGTAGCCTCTGTAATCCTTCTCCACGTTGTCACCGTAAAGGTTGAGTCGATGATCCTCGTTGGTGAAAACTTGCACAGGGTATTTATTCCTGGCATTGCAGGCCATGTCATCGGCGAGCATCAGAATGATTTGGTCATCCGGTATCCCTAGTCATTTTACAGTCCGTTAAAGAGAAAGAGTGTTCGTCATATGTCGGTAGTTGAACCAGTGTCGAGAAGTGCACACCAGTACAGCCCAATTGTTCGTGTGCCAGTAAGTTCGTGACAGAGCCATGTCTCCGCTAGCCATCAGCACACTTTCTGTGGGGATGTGTGATCACCTCAGCGCATCAATCGACAGACCTCATCACCTCGATACCCTTCCTTTCATTCAAGCATGAAAGCTGCCATCTCTATATCCATGTCTCCTCACTGCAGATTCTTGACGGGTCCTTCGTGGTCAGGTCCTCAATACTATGCTGAGGCCGGAAGATGAAACGAGCCTACACACTCAAAAATTGCTCATGAATCTGATTTGCCCAAACACCTTTATCATCAGCAATCCCTAGATTCAAATGCTTCAAAAGTCATTCCTTTTGCCACCCGTTCTTCCCACAAAGCGCCCAGAAAGATGTGACAGCTGAACAACAGGATGACGATTCTCAATACATGGTGACGATACTCAAGACAATTGTATGAGCAGATTTCAAGATTTTACGAGTGAGCGACGCAGACGGATCCATTCGAAGGATAAACTATCTGCGATTCAATTGACATACAACTCAGAGTCGATAAATACAACCTTCCAAAAACATTCTTGATCTTTCCTTCGACCGATGTTTTCCGTAGAACTATGAAATGTGATGAGACTGTGAACCACAACTCCTCAACTCATAAGCCTCCGTGGAGGGAAGGAATTGCAAGTGAAAATACATTTATCTCTTTTTAAATTTCCTTATATATATTGTCAGGACTTGTCAAATTTCTTAGAACCATGTTAACGTGACGGTGAAAATTTTAGAAGCTTAGTTTAGCCCTCATCTAGTCTTGTAAGGCAGAATTCAGTTGCTGGACTGTGACGACTTGACCGGAATGATTTTTATGCCAAAACTGATGACCACTTTTGTCAATCGAGGTTCATAAATCATAGAACGTTAAGCATCACCTCCTACAAATTTTTACATACAAAGCGAAGTGACAAAAAGTCTCATAAAAATGTCATAATATGTTATCCATTTTATAAAACCAAACCACATGAGGTTATGATGTTAATCTAATTGACTTCTTCGTATATATATGAGTCTCAACCTTGATCAGTCTCATAAGGTTTCACAATTCTAAAATCTATTATTTTCATATATTAAATACAAAATGTCTAGAATTATGGAATAACTAAATTTCATAATTACCCTCAGTCAGCTGAGGGTATTTGTGAAATTGTATATCATTACAATGTACATGCACGTTCTAAATCTGTATTTTTTAAAAATCAAATACAATTTTAACAAACAATTTTAATAATAAAATCATAATGTATAATAATTAAAATATCCAAAAAATATTATATATTGAAAATTATCTAAAAATTAAAGAAATATAAAAAATGATTACTTCTAATTATAATAATTTAATATCAATAAGATAGTAGGTTTTCTAATTATTAATCAATTTTTTCATGAAATCTACAAATAACATAACCCATAACGTACTTCAGTATTTGAGTCCTAAATTCGTACTCCAGTCCTCCAATGTCATGACTACACTTAACTTTAATCAAGAACTGCGATCTCTTCCGTCTGCTTAGCTTCCCAACTTTCAATAGCAACTCTCTCTGGACCTTCCGAGCTTGAACCTGCATTAGTTGTAGAAATGTATCTCTTCATTACTATCGTGCAACTGCCTGATGGCAGACGGTACAACTTTGTTTTGGAAAATATGGCATTAAAAGTTGTGAAGCTGGCCGTATTTCATATCCATCATGTAAAGCATCCCGCTATCTTTTAGGGGAAATCCCAAGGGGTATTGTGGCATGCTGGGAAAAGGGGAGCTAAACCGAAAAAACCTTTTTTTTTATGGTGCAGAAGCTTCTGCACCATAACATCTCGAGGCGTATCATTTCTCTCCATTCAAGTACAACGTAAAAGTCTACAGCACTTGCTTGTCTCTTAGAGGCATCAAGTTTAGTGGGCTTGTTCCTCATGCAGTATTAACTAGACGTTGAACTCTAGCAACATGAAAATATTACTCTGAATACTTGATACGAGGATTCAAGTGAATTAGTTGACATTAATTCAACTGACCTCTTCATCTTCTCGTTCTACTCCTGCATCTTCTGAATCGTGACTTTCATTTTGTAGAACTATCTTTTATGCACAGATTCTTAAATCCAGCCTGTCGGAACTTCTGGGTCAGTTAGGGGTCGTCCCGGCTCCAGACCGGCTCGGCTACGACTTAGTCGCGCCGGCTTCGGATCCGGCTCGATTCTAGGAGAGCGGCTCGAGCCGGCCTCTTTATAGGCGATTTACTGCTAATGGATCACAGGTCACCATGGTATCGATCACACGAAGAAATTGGCTCACGGTAAAATTTCTCTATATCTTCGTCTCATAGGCAGAATAGTTAAGTGGATCTTTCACCTGGTAACCAATTGTTATTGTTGTTAAGAAAGGATGTTACATCATTTTGCAGTAGTGAGGAGGGGTCGGCCCGGCTCCGGCAGAGCCGGCTTGTGAGCGACTCGGCTACGACTTAGTCGAGCCGGCTTCTGTCATGGCGATCGGCTCCGTGTACTAGCGGCTCGAGCCGGGCCGACGGCTAAGGTCAGTGACGGATTTCTGAGTAGAGGTAGAATTGTAGATCGAAACCTCTGAAACAAGCTATGTCCGACGTGAGCCAGCCATTTGAATCACCGCGGAGCTACAGATCCTTCTGAATTAGCCCCGGCCCGATCAGAGCCCGAAGGAACTGCCTCGACTTCTGTGCAACAATTCTCCCACCTCTATGGCCATGCAATGGCAGGACGGACGATGATGGTTGCTAATCACAATCTGAAGCGTTGTCAACCTTTCATATGGAACATGATTACAGTAGCTTGTACATCCTCATTGGACGGGGATTTCGCATGAACTTAGCTGGAGTACGAACCAAACTCGTTGATCTATGGATATGTAAATCAAGATTTGTAGCTAGCATTCTTGGGATCACAATCAAGGGGACTTAAATAATCTAGATCTATTTCTTCCATCACATAACTTACATATCCGTTCACTCCTATCAATGTTCAACCAACGTCCTTCTTCAATCCCAAGATTATGAGATACTGTTCTATTCCTAGCAATAATGTGACGTAAAGAAGTAGAAATCTCCGCAAGTAAGTATACTTCCTCACAATAAACAAGCATAGGATTCACATGAAGTTGATAAAACTCCATTTTAGTGCCTCGTCTGCTCAAAAGAATGCTGAGAAATTACTCCTTGATACGCTCACGTAGGGCAATAGGTTGCAAATCCCAATCAAGTTCAGTCACATTCCACCTCAAAGATCAAATCACCACATCTGCAAACCATCCCTTGGGACGTGTGGCACGCAAAACTTCAAGAGTAAGTCAAGAAACATCAAAACATCTCACTTTTTTGGCATAAGTGATAGTCAAAAAAAGAGCTTCAGCCTCAAGAGTTAGACAACATGTTTCCGCAAGAAGAATAGCATATGAAGTTTGGGTACTCACACCCAATTCTTCTTGTAAGAAGATCTTTTGCACCCTCTCCAAACGCTGCCAACCTGTCTTCTTACAACCAGGAGCCCACACTTGTGTTCCATATAAGATAACGGGAAACACTAAGCTCTTGAATAAGAATTTTCTAAGACTCTAAGACACTAGATGAGCTCGCCTACATATATTTAGCAATGAATATAGAGCTTTGAAACCAGCTTCTACTCTCTTTTGCACATAAAGTGCCCAACTATAATCAAAGGAGAAATCAATGCCTAGATATTTGTAACTTTTCACTTGTTCCAACTCTAATACTGTGTGAAAGAAAGAAAGCTTGGATCTAGTGCCCACAAGAATGACTTTGGACTTCTCCAAATTGACCTCCATATGATTTTGAGTACAAAAGCTAGCCAAAGTGTCAAGGTATTTCTATAAACTAATGGCATCACGTGCTAGTAATATGACATCATCTGCATACAAAAGAGATTTGATGACAAAGCCTCCAAGTTTCACACCTTCGCTATCACAATCCTTCAACCACCTTTCTATATCATCTATGAAAACTCCAAAGAGAGTAGGAGAGAGAGTACAACCTTGAATAACTCCAATGGTACTCAAAATCTCTTCGGTTTGAGAAGTGTTGATCTTGGCCCGAACTTAGTGGTATAATGTGGCCACCGCTGCTAAGAGACTACTAGGTTTGTAAGAGGCCTCATGTTACCTGATTCAGCTGCTGCATAAGAAGTCGATGTTCCGGTTGATATCGACAGATCCGTGGAGTCGAAAGACAAGGTTCAATTTAGAAAACAAGATCTTATGAAAACAAGTCTAGAGCAAGTCATGTAGAGCACGAGAAGATGCGAGTCTAATCTCCACTATGGGGTCCTTGACATCGTACTAGCAGCACTCGCAAGAGCTTCTCTTGACTTCCAGTCATCTCTAGCAGTTTGGTCTAAATAAAACTCCACAATTTTAGTTGATGTTATAGCATTGTTACGTATGACTTTGCCGAGCTGCTGCCATTCCTCACAACGCATCCGCAAGGATTCAAACTTCACTTCTTCCAATGATTGAGTGCAAGTAAGAAGTTTTCTTAAATAGTCTTCGAGTCCATCCATACCCTCCAGCCAAAGACATTCAATGAATATGTTCTATGGACCGTTCAATTCGAATTGCTGTCCATCCGATCGCTCGCTAGTGTCTCTCATGTAGGTAACTATTGCACGGGTATTACGATTCCCACCAGAAGCTGTTCCCGATGATCACTAAATTCTAATACTTCTCGTTTCGGTACATTGAGCAGATCAAATTTTACATTCGGCCTTGCCCCGCGTTCCATGATCCCTCAATGTAGTGGATGGTAGCAGTTTGAGTTCAGGAGTGGCAGTGCCAGTGAAGTCTAGATGTGTGATTTGCCAAGGAAGTGACCCCTGTGCACAAGCTTCGAATTCACAGAGTTTTGCGCAGAACATGGAAGTCAAATGAGAGTTGATTGAAACATAAGTGCCAAAAGCTGTTCCCGATGGTCACTAAATTCTAATACTTCTCGTGTCGGTACATCGAGCAGATCAAATTTTACCTTCGGCCTTGACCCGCGTTCCATGATCCCTCGCTGTAGTGAGTGTTAGCAGTTTGAGTTCAGGAGTGGCAGTGCCAGAGAAGTCTAGATTTGTGATTTGCCAAGGAAGTGACCCCTGTGCACAAGCTTCAAATTCATAGAGTTTCGCGCAAAACATGGAAGGCAAATGAGAGTTGATCGAAACATAAGTGCCAAAAGCTGTTCCCGATGGTCACTAAATTCTAATACTTCTTGTGTTGGTACATTGAGCAGATCGGATTTTACCTTCGGCCTTGCCCCGTGTTCCATGATCCCTCACTGTAGTGGGTGGTAGAAGTGACAACCTGGCGGAGAAAGGATGGATGCCGCAGAGGATTATTGTTCCTATAGTGATCAAGAAGCTAAGGATGGTGCTCTGATATCTAACGTAACGGAGCCACTTCCTCCTAGGAAAAAAGGGAGGCAAGGCAATCTTGAAATATTTTCCTGTTACGTTATATACTAGGAGGATGAAGACATATTCCCTAGAATCTTCACTCCTCCTCGTAGTTTTTGATGGGATGGATACATAGATGAAATGATACCCATTGATGAGATGAGTTTTTGCTAGATCATGGATTAAATAGTAAATCATGTTATGTA